TGTGATTCTGTGATTCTGTGATTCTGTGTTATTGCGCCCCAAGTGCAGGACCTTGGCCTTGTTGAAGCTCACACAATTGGCCTCAGCCCATGGATTCAGCCTGTCCAGGTCCCTCTGCAGAGCCTTCCTACCCTCAGGCAGATCAACACTCCCTCTCAACTCAGTGTCATCTGCAAACTTGCTGAGGGAGCACTCAATCCCCTCATCCAGATCATTGATAAAGATGTTAAACAGGACTGGCCCCAAAACGGAGCCCTGGGGAACACTGCTTGTGACTGGTTGCCAACTGGATTTAGCTCCATTCACCACAACTCTCTGTGTTTGGCCATCCAGCCAAATTTTGACCCAGCAATGTCAAACTCCTGTGTGCCAATTTCAACCACACAGTCAGAGAGGATGCTTCCCTGGCACTACTCACCATTGCCGTAAGCCCAGTCGTCGTTCATACGGTGCCGAACCTTCTGGTAGATGGCAGACATGGTTTTCATGTTGCTCTTTCTCCACTGGCGCCCCAGGTATTTGGTCTGGATTTTCAGCAGTTTGAGGACGTACAGCTGCATCATGGCCTGCTTCACCTTCAGAGCTCGTTTCAGTATTGGGGCTGACTTAAAGACTACCAGCATCTGCCAAGGAATCAGCATGAATTAATGCAACGTGTTCAAGAAAGCAACACAAGTTCTATCTCTGCAGCTTTGGATACCAACACCTGGGCCATGTATGGTACAAACCCCAAGCAGGTATAACAGGAGTGTTCAACATAACCAACACTTGCTGCAGGGGGCTTGAGAGTCATAGAAATAAGTACTATTTGCAGGAGAAAAAGTATATTTCTGCATTTATGAAAGAAAAATAGGCAGCTTATGAAGCAGCAGATGCCCCAGCACTGCCAGAAGAAACTCTGCAGGGGTGAAGTGGCGCAGCGTAGAGCTGAGGACACACTTGAGGTGCAACACCAGCAGTCCACGGCAGGTCTCGGGTAGATGGGACGTCGCCTTACCATCGTCCTCGAGTGTTTCCACTTGGTCAGCTTGTTGAGGATCCTCAGCAAGTTAATGCAGGAGAATAAGTTCCTCCAGCAGAACTGGTTGTTGTCTCCGGCTTCCTGCAAAGCAGAGAAGGAAAAGTGTAACCCTAAATGCAGCATTCAACAGCACCGTCACAGAGACATCCTTATGTAGAAAGTCTTTCTTTTACTATCTACGAGAGTCTAATTTCCAATGGAGAGTGAGTAGCAGAGCTTCCCCCTCACTTGAGTTATCATCACGCTGCTGACAAGCCACCGGATTCTGGAGAAAACCGTTCCGAAAGACTCAGATGTAATCAGCATTTTAATTTGCGTTTAGGTTTAGAGTAAAAGCTAAGAGAAATCACATTATTCCATCATGGGAAACATATACGGTGGTAGATTTGTATCCATTGTTTACAGTCAGAGAGCAAATTACAGCCTTGTGATCTCCACTGCTTAGACAACGGCTTTTGTTAATTATAGAAATTAATTCACAAATTACCACATGCTTAGAGGACGTATCACAGACCAAAAAAAGGAAATCACGTAACAACGCAGGATGACAAACTGCAGCATTTTCTATCAGGAGAACAAGACTTTTCTGTAACAAAGATCCCCTCCAGCTTAAGTGCAGCTGATACATTATTTTAAATATTAGTGAAATGTAAGCACCCCCAGCTCCAGCTTGCGTAAATCTGTGGCACATTAGAGCAGTAATTCCACCACTACAGTAACTTGCTTTATATTTGAACAGGCTGAGCACAGCAGAAGTGTCCCACAAATAACCTGTTTGGGGATGAGAGTAGAAATAAGTGCTGCTTAATTTATAAACCACTTACAGCAAGCTACAGCCTTAACTCATGGCAAAAACTGCAGCCTGGTGCATGATCCATGTTCTTGTTGTCCTCGGGAGGAGAGTTTGGGGGTGACCCCAGGGAGTCCCTCCTGTCAGTGTCTAATCCAGCTTCAAAACAAGATTTACAGGGAAAAAAATCCCACCAGCATAACACATTTGTTCTCAAAAGCAAGCACCAACCTATCATTTCAGAAAGCTGGTAAAAAGCTATAGTACGTCTAATTTTTAGAGGCAAAAAAGAAAGTGTTTCACACAGAATCACAGAATC